AGCTTTTAAAGGACCTATATTACGCCAAATTGAGGCCACGTTTACACAGAGCCGGGTATGTTGAAAAACAAATATTTCCCTCCCTCTGTTTTCCAAAATAACATCATGCACACAGCATCGTTTTCAAAAAAGTTTTCGTTTACATCAACCCGCATAAATACGCCATCGAGCGCCATCATAACTACACAGAGCCTCTGGGCAGCACCTGGATTAGATTCTTTTATTTCATTACAGTTGTATTACTTAAAAGTACCTTGAAAAACATGCATTACAGAGCAGGCTCGCCTCTCCACAGATCTGTTAAAGAAGAGGAAAATAGTTCATAGTAGCCTCACTGGTCTCTGGTCATAGGTATGATTCATCAGCGGTGAGCGCAAATGCAAACACATGAAAAGCGTTTCACCAGAAAAAAATGCAACTGCTGCTCTGAATGCTTCATCATCAACAGAGCAAAAGGGAAACATTGGTTGCACTTTTGGCTCGTCAGCTCCTAAAACTCCATTTATCTCACTTTACACGCAAACGCCAAACCGTAGTTTTCCAGAATCTCCACTCTAGCCAAAGTTTTAAGAAACATTCATTTTCAGAGGTGAATTCGCCGTTTGTGTGTATAAGATGGTACAAACGAAGGGAAATGTCTCTGTTTTTAAAAATCCACGTAAACGGGGCCTGACTCGTGAGGTTTAAAGGGTGAAGTATAGTTCTGCGTCGACTCAACACGCACTGCCGCCGTTGCCTTGTCGCCGTCGTTTTTGATTTATGGATCTGCGTCGAGGTCTGTGCACCGCAAAGTAATTCACTGCCAAAACACTAGGGGGCGACGATATGTGTCCATTCATATATACGGTCTGTGTGTACGACCCGCAGACGCATAATCTCTGAAAAGTTTAACATGAACCATCTCTAACGCAATAAAAGCTCAGAACAGACTCACAATATCCCTCTGTCACAGAAAGAACACTCATATTCCACTGAGTCGTGTCCTTTTTAAATCCGACAGAAGCTGACCGTGTACCAGGAGCGATCTGTTTTATGAGCGCTTTGTTTATGCAAGTTAGCCATGCGGTTTTAAGTTTTGTTTCTGTAAAACGTAAACACAAATGCGCAAAGCTGCATTCAACACATTATTTCTCAATATAAACTGAAAGAAAGAAAAGCCGACAGGAAATGTCTGTAGAGCGATGGTACAGAGGACCAATCACAGCTTTTATCGTCTGCGTCGCTTCCCCTGCTGTCTGCGTCGTTTTGACGTGTAGTTAGAAACATTTCGGAGGTGCACGTCGATCAATGCAGAGGCTCTGCGTAGGGGGTACGCGTCAACGCAGACTCTCTGTGTCATGACGCAGAGGATTTGACGCTGGACCGTAAATTGGTCTTAACCCATGTTATAATTGTTACCTTCTCAAAAACAGACCTGGAGTTCACATTAACTTCAGTGGGTTTTATCAGTCGGTCGGCGAGCCGGGTGTCGGGAACTACACTGGAAGTTGTCATTGCATGTTTCCAAATGTCTTCCTGGTGTGTGACATAACGTGAATAGAGCCTATACTTGCACAGATCCAGCATGAGACACCGAGGAAAAACCCGAGAGACTACTGCCATCCTGCATCAAAGATCACACCCAACTGCCACTGAGAAGCACCGAGACTGGCATCGAACCCTTTCCCCCAGACCAAGCTCATAATAATAATGACAGAATAATAATAATACATTGCTCCTTTTTTAAAACTGTACGAGCGTAGCCTACACACTGTTCCTCTTCGGTACTTATATTTCCAGTAGGTCGCTTCAGGTTTGTCAAATGAACATGTGATTCATTGAGAGGCAGGAAATGATGGAACGTCAGCCCATCTGTCAATCAAACTCGTCACGCGCACTGTCCCTGAGTTCAGAGGAGCAGGAGCATGGGAACTAATCACTTGTGTTGAGCTGTCAGGACACCTCAGCACTGTGACACATTCAGACAGGCTGCTATTAGCTTCTATAGACCGTTCTACTGTATCAAAACTGGTTGGAATGAATGGAACGTGAATATAGTTTCATGAATGGATAAACAACTCTTTCGCTTAACTTTATTGATAGGCAAGAAAAGTGTCCGTAAAGGTGCATTGTGTAATTTTTCCGGTGAAGGGTCCGCCGAATGCTTTTCTTCACGGAGATATTATTGCTTTGTTTGGAATGTTTCACTAGCCTGATTCATCAGCCGGTTTCACTTCGTATAAACCGTCTGACCTCGCAGCCTTAGAATAGGTGGGTTTCACATGACGTCACAGGGCTACGATTGTCAGCACGCAAAATCAGATGGAGGGCAGGAAGTGAACTGACTGGAGGAAAATGCCGATGTGTTGTGTAGTTTACGGCTGTGCCAATTGTTCTAACCGAAAGAAGGAAAAGCGATTTTTTTAGAGTACCGAATATAGTCGTCCACAAAGGTCAGAAATGGGAAAAGCCGACAGAACAACGCCGTAAAAAGTGGATTACAAACCTGTTCGCGATCGGGAGGAGCAGAATTCGCTAATGCTCGTGTCTGCAGTGACCACTTCGTCAAAGGTTTGTTACAAAGCTAAATTGTTTTTTGTCGTTAACCTAAACATAAACGAATCATTAACGACTAACTGCTAATGACATTTGTTGACATTAAATAGTTCAGATAGAGGTTACTGCTGATACACTGCAGTTTTTCCCATAACGTCTATACACATAAGAGAAACACTCACCCCGGCGAAGACCAAACAATAATTTTCATTTAGACGTTTTGCACCGAGGTTGAGGACCCATCCACTGACAAAAAAGTTCTATGCCTCCAAACTTTTGTACTTTGCCTTCATCTGTTGTCTGGTGTAGAACGATGTCTGAAGAGCTAAATAGTTCGTGATATCCTCTGCCTCGATTGTCGGCAAATCTTTTACTTCGGTTGAAAATTCTCTCATTTTCTATAAGATCAGGGTCACGCCCAATATATTTGTGGACTAACTGCTCGTACTTTTGCCTCGTTACTGGCTCTAAATCCTTACAACAAGAACTCTTCTCCATATCTGTGTTCTCCAGAGCCGTGTTTGTCATATTTGTCTTCACTTTCTGCCCTCCACCTGAAATTCGCGCGTCATCGTGATCACGTGACTGAAACCCTCCTATTCATTCGCTCAACGGTAGGCAGGTACTTTTTTTATTTAACCAATCGCTTCTATTTGGTTGTGACGTATGTAATGCTCCACTAAAGGGGCTAACTGGTATATTAAGCTTTTCCCAAATCCTGTAGGAAGAAGAGCAATAATGTATTTTCCCCCTACTTTAAATCCTCGATCTCGGGAATCGTTGCCAACACAGAATGTATGACTCTTCACTGATTGACTGGTGCCTGAACTTGCACATCCATGGTTTTTATGAACTGTGGGATTTGTTTTCTGTGTTTTTAATGTTTCCTTCATGTTAATTCACTATGCAGTATAAAAGGTGTGTAATGTTCTTGTACATGTGTTATAAAGAGAAGTCAATGTCTGAACTTTAAAGTGTCAGTGAGTTTGGGACGTGTTACGATCGACTTTGTGATGTATACGAGACATAAAGGGGGAGTGTCTGAACTCTTTAACATATGCTAATGTATGATTACACTGTCTGGGTCAACATTACTTTGAATTTCCTGCAAATACCAGTTATAGTTAGTCAATATTTTGATGAGATGGTCAGTATAAAGCTGCCTGCTCTGCTGTACTAAGAGAGAGGTGACGTGGAGAGATGCTGTGTGAATCAACTTGAATCTGAGACCTGTACCTGTGTGAGCCGAATAAAGAGACATGTCTGTGAACACCTTTAACCCCCCGGACTCTCTTTGAAGACTCTTTTCAGGCTCCTCCAGGAGAAGCTGAGAGAACCGTCTAGTGCAAGGGTTCTTAACCTTTTCAATCTTGGGGCCCAACTTTTTCTTAACAAAGTAACCTGGGGCCCTATCTTATATTAAATGTATTATATTGCACTGGTTGTGGGGCACCCAAGGAGGTGGTCCCAGCCCTACTTTGGACCCGGCCCTATGGTTAAGAATCACTGGTCTAGTGTATTCCAATTCCTGACCTAGTCGCTGGAAAGAAATTAAATTGAGAGGAGGCACTAGGTGGCGTCAGCCTCACAGTATGGCATTAAAAGTTTCTATCTTCATGGAGACTGAACTAAACCTAGATCATCTGTTACATTACAATATTACTGCATTTAAAATGTAAAACATTACACGGCTATTGCAGTACTTTTAAGCTACTCTCACCAAAATAACTGTGCAAAAATGCCAAACTTTTGTGCCATATATGGACTAAATCAGGACTAAATCAGGACTAAACCAGGTCTAAACCAGGACTAATCCAGGTCTAAACCAGGTCTAAACCAGGACTAAACCAGAACTGAACCAGAACTAAACCAGTACTGAACCAGGACTAAACCAGGACTAAACCAGGTCTAAACCAGGACTAAACCAGAACTGAACCAGGACTAAACTGAAGACTGAGTCAGGACAAACCAGGACTAAACTAAGACTAAACCAGAGCTGAGCCAGGACTGAACCAGTTCTAAACCAGGACTAAACCAGGTCTAAACCAGGACTGCTGGTAATATTGTGGTGGTCTTAGCGAATTTGTAAGAAAATAAATGAAAAACCCACCACTTCAATCCAGGTTAAAATGCATTGTGAAGCGTGTTACTTACATTTGTACCGAGTAAAATATAAAATTTTTTTCCCTGTAATTCCTTACATTACTGCGTTACAGCAAAAAGCAACGCATTACAGTAATTCGTTACTTTTATAACTTCTAATGCTGGTAATTAATGAAGTTTGGATACCTGTTTGACCAATCACATTGTTTCTCATATGTCCAGACCCCACCCCTTGTCCCTCCCTCATTCTCTTCTTTAGTCTTCCAGGTACTTTTGAACTGCCAACATTCCCATTATCTGACACAGTACGACCCCGCCTGCACCACCGTCTCTACCATGCGTCTGTAGCTGGCGTCGTTTACCTTGTCTGGTGGTCTTGAAGTTGAAAGACTGGAACCCCCCACTGAGCGCAGAGGAGTCCACGTCTACCCCGTATTCGCTGTGGTTCTTCCTGTAGAGCATCACTGCCACCACCAAGATAGCCACCGCGATGATGCCCGCGCCCAGGCCGGAGTACAGGGCCACGTCGTTGGAGCTGTCCATACCTGCGCACAGCAAAATACAGGAAAAAAAAAAAGTTTAGGTTTAGTTAGTTTGAATGTGTATTGGTAAACTGGCCCAGTATATAAATAGCAGATAGCTAGGGATGTAACAATATCCAAATCTCTCGGTACGACTTTATCACGATATGCATCTCTCGGTATGATATTTATTGCGATATTTTGGAGAGGTTGATATAATACATGCATCACGAATTTCGGACTTCCAGTCACTGCACAATTCATACTGGGAAGATTTTTCTGAAAACAGAAGCATCAAACCGCCATATTTGATTTCCCAGTGGGATGTGTCTATTGACAAAGCTGACCTTTTCTAGACTTTTGAACCATATCACTTTTGTTTCTGGTTCTGATATTGTCATTTTAGTTTTGGGATTAGGACATCGTAACTGTGTGGTTGTTGGATCCCAACAGCAGAAAACGGCTCAAGAAATAGGCTTCGGAAGTTTGTGAACTCCAAAACTGCAAAAGGGAATCAGATCTGTGTGACTGCAAACCTCCGTTCAAACTGTTACCCTTCCCAACGTAAAAAATAGTGAAAGGCGAAGGTGATGGGCAGGATTGACACACAGGAAGAATGAAAAATGTAACCTTTGGCTGCCTAAGAAATCATCCCAAGTTTGCAGTGAACGTTTTGTATGTGGAGCGCTCAACCTTGGTTACGAATTTTAAAAAGTCAACGCCAAAGCGAAAGGCACCAGCTGTTCACCAAGAAACACCTTTTCACTGCAAAGCGACCAAGATGTTGCTGTAAAGCCACAAAAACAAGAAAATGCGAGCTCAGCCTGTTTGTCTTCTGCACCGGGATCCCGCATTGATGGCGCTCTACATACAAAATGTAAACTTTGGATGATTTCTTAAGCAGCCAAATGTTACCTTTTTGGTCCTTCCTGTGGATCAGTACTGCCTGTCGCCATCGCCTTTCACTATTTTTCAATTCCGTTGGGTAGAGAAACAGTTTGAACGGAGGTCTCACATAGATTCAGACAGATCTGATTCCCTTTTGCAGTTATGGAGTTCGTAAACTTCCGAAGCCCATTTCTCGAGCCATTTTCCGGTGTTAGGATCCAACAACCACACAATTACAATGTCTGAATCCCAAAACTAAAATATGACAATATCAGAACCAGAAACAAAAGCGATATGATTCAAAAGACTAGAAAAGATCGGCTTTGACAATAGACACATCCCACTGGGAAAATAAACATGGTGGTTTGATGCTCACTTTTTTCGGAAAATACTTCCCAGTATGAATTGCACGATGACTGGAAGTCCGAAATTCGTGATGCATGTATTATAGATAGGACACTTTTTTGCTTTTAAAATACCCTGACAAAATTTTGGTGTGAATTGTTACTGTCATAATCTCAAGAATTCAAGTAAAAAACATGTAACTTTATGTTGTCTGCGCTGAAATGAATCATGAATTCCCCGATGTTTATTAGCTATTGCTATAACACCGTGCATTTAAGCAGAGGAACTTGTAACTGGATATATTGTGACACCCTATGGTATTATTGTGAGACTTCTGATGATGAGATATCATGACATAAGCTCAAAATGCTCTGTTCCACATTGTGATGTCATTTACTGGTAGTTTTCAAGTTTCACAGCCAGCTTTTATCATTCGTTCAGTAGAGATTGGCAATTTCAGAACTGAAATTATCCAAATGATTGTAGTTAATGTGTATGGAGTTTAAAAACCCAGTGGAGTACATCCTGTGTGACATCACAGGTTGGAACAGGCTGTTTGAGCAAAGAACTCATCTTAAATATACAGGGTTTGCGTGTTGAACGTGTGTGAACGAAACAAAACACATCTCCAGGTGTGTTTGTGATGAGGAAAACAACTTTATAACAGAAATAGTGTAATATGGGGCCTTTAAATGTTGCTTGAAAGTTTATCCACCTCATAACCTTTTGCTACTTGGTTGTGTCATTTCCAGCTCTTTATAACTCCACAACTCTTCCGCAGTCTGCATCATTTTGGGCTTGACTATAAAACAGCTAGCATGGCACCTCTCTGCTTAAACGCGCCATGCTTTTATTACACAATCTTTCGAAGGGGCGAATACAGGCAAGAGTTACAATATGTTACAAAGACGCTGAGAACGAAACCAGAATTATGGGATGTGCTAAACTTAACCGCACCATCTGTCGCACGCCTCCACGCACCATTACAGCCGGGAGAAAGATCAGAGGAACATATCCGGTAGTTAAGCTAAACGCTAACACCGCGCGCGCAACTTGCTAGCATGACGCCAGATTAGCCTAAGTGCCGTCAAGCCGCCTGTGTATATCCAATGTCCCCGGTGCGTGTTAGCTGTGAATGTGACGGGAGTGCGTCCGCCAGTGAAGACCAGGCACATTCAAGGTAAAAACGATTTCTGAAAATGTGGTGTGGCATCATTAAGCTGCATGAGACTGAATTGCAACCATTTATTTAGATTTTTCTTAACAGAGAGGTAGACTTAAAGGTTCTGTATTACGCAAAATTGATTCTCTCGAGGTTGAAGTCGTGTTGTAATGCTGTTACCTTTTTAAAAACAGAACTGGAGTTGTGTTTAGTTTCATTCACACGTTTGAATAACCCTTTATTATAGACTCTATTCTCGCTTACACACTGCTGGACACTTTAAAACTGTAATGTGATATTTATGACTTGTTACTGTCATTTCAAAGTCATTCGTTACGTTACAATATTACTGCAATTAAAATGTAAGACATTACATTACTATTGCAGCACTTTTAAGTTACTCTCACCAAAATAACTGTGAAGACTAGGGATGGGCATGATTAGTCAATTAATTGATAATTGATCATTAAGAATTTCATCGATTATGTTCATTTTAATCGACAAACCGAATGTAGGTTGCTGTGCATAGCGTGACCAAACAGGGGTCTGTACATGTGTCTCTGTGCATCCGAAGGAGCGAAACACAAACAGTGGGTCAGTCTGCAACGTACCGAAGCACAAATGCGTATTTAACGATGACTTGTACAAGAAATTCCACGCTTTCCGTTGCGTCCGGGACAAGTGTGAGTCCATGTGCACAGTGTACAAACAACATATGTTTCAGTGTCTAGTGGGAAAAAGCTTTACCAGGTGAGAGTCGCGCAATGTTGATGACGAGTCCCCACCTCCCACCCCCCGTACGGTGTCCTGGTTTTGACAAACGCAAATCTGGTCACACTAACCTGTATTCCACTGAGTCATGTCTTTTAATCCGACAGAAATTGACCGTATCAGTGCACAAGAGCTGTAATTTTAGCTTTGCTTAGTTTATGCAAATTAGTGATGTGGTTTTAAGTTTTGTTTCTGTGAGAGTTGCGCAAAACTGAATTAAACACATTATAATCTCAAACGGATTGATATGTTGTAAAATTGAATTTATTTATGCAGATTAGTAGTGCAGATAGTAATAATAATGATCATTATTTTAATATAAAAATGTTAATGATTAATCGATAATTGATTGTTAATTCTTCCGACGATCGATTAAGAAAATTTCATCTAATGTCCATCCCTAGTGAAGACACTGAACTTTTGCGCCGTATATGCACTGAACCCAGAGCTCGTGGAACAGGATGTCAGCAAGGCGCAATTGGAGCGTCAGCTGCGGTTAGCCCTGTGGAGTGTGGAGTTCTGCGCCAGTCCTTTCGCTCGCGGTCACCCGATGGTCTACGCGGGCTCGTCTCTGGCGTTTAACTGCTGCTGATATTGTGATTTTAGCGAATTTGTATGAAGAAAAACAAAAAACCCACCACTTCAATTCAGGTTGAAAAAGCATTGTAGCGCATGTTAATGACATTTGTGCCGAGTAAAATATAAAAAAAAATTTTCCCCTGTAATGCCACATTAATGTGTTACAGCAAAAGGGAACACATTACAGTAATTCATTACTTTTATAATGCGTTACTCCCAACACTGTGCTTACGTCACAAACCAGAAAGATGTTTGGAAAGATGTGATGATGACTTCCAGGGAAGTTCTTGACACTGGGCTTGATAAAACCCACTGAAGTAAATGTAATCAGTGACAAAATGAAGATTGCGTACATATGTGCTAGGGCTGTAACGGTACATGTATTTCAGTACGGGACGTTCGGTTCGGTGCAGGGCTGTGCACGAGTGAGTTAGCTCAATTTATGTGTGTTTACATTCGGCCACTACATGTGCAGCTACACAGAAGACTCGGCTCTTTAATATTCACAAGGGAACTCGTCCGTGATTGGGGTGCAGTGTTTCCCTCAGAGCTTCATAGTTAGGGCGCCCACCTTCACAACAATTTCCCCTCGCCTTGACTACGTCCCTCCAAACCACGTGAATCCCCCAAAACTGCGGTCATCTCGCCGCAGTCCTCACTTTTGCCTTGTGCTGGCACGGAATCTCTGCCCCCACCCCCTGAACTGTACCGAAAATGAATCAAACCATGACTTCAAACCGAGGTACGTACTGAACAGTGATTTTTGTGAACCATAACACCCCTAATATGTGCTGCTTGGAATCATCTGGAATTTGGCGCCTCATCTCTTCTAATCACATGTACCCAGTGCACTCGGAGTCGTGTGTAAGTGGGGAAATGATGAAAACTGAGATATGGTTGTAATTTTTGATTAGCCGAACATAACGGAACACTACAATGACATGGAGATGAAGAAAACTGGGACATTTTCTCATTTTTCCTAGATTTTGCCAGAGCCCGGTGGAAGTTGTCATCGCATCTTTCCAAACACCTTCCTGGTTTATGACGTAAGCGTAAGCCTGTTATTCTGTCTACATCTCCAAAGTTCAAAATGCTCTGTTCCAACTTGTAGTGTCATGTAGTGGTAGTTTTCAATTTAACAGACACATTTTACCTTTAGTACAGGCAATTCCAGGACTAAAATCATCCACATGATTCTAGGGAAGGTGCACTTTCTGTATTACCGCATGACAGTCTGTGTTTAGCTTTATTTTCTTTTGTAGTGCTGCAAAATGACAAA